AATAATAATAATAATAATAATTTATTTGCGGTCACAGACCAAAAAATAAAAACATTAGAAAATTAAACAATTACTTCCAGTATATATTAGGGCCTAACAAGAGAACTGCAGACCTACTCCAAATTATTGCAAAGAGCCATTGTACACAGTGCTAATCAAACATGTTGACCTGAGTGACAACTACTAAACAAAACTTTGCCATTATGGTTTGTAAGGATCTTCAAACTTTGCAACTGAAAGATCTGCACTCTATCCTCCCCAAACCAGTTAGCATCTAGCCCTGTGAACAACAAATGAGATCCAGCAAGGCCTAGCATAGCAAAGAACACTTTGCATTAAATGCTGTGAAACATTCCTATTTATGAACCTGGTACCCCCCTACATACAGTATTTTTAGCCACATATCTTCAGTATTTTCAGGAAAAGTGGAGGATAGATGATATTTAGCTAAGAATAATTGGAGATATCATTCAGAGAAACACTGAACCGTGGGAAAAAGAAAAGAGGGAAGCTAACATGAATGTAAGATAAGAGGGTGCAAATCCTGTGGCAGGCTTTGAGTCCTAACCTGTGGTGCACCTCAGCCCCAATCCCTGGCAAGTTGTTGCATAGCTCCAGGCAAAGTCAAGTGGCCGTTGTTATACAATATCTGGGTAAGGTACTGGATTAAAAGTGAGGAAACATAGGTTCAAACTCCACCTCAGCCATGGATGAAAACTTTTAAGTCAGTCACTCTTTGCCCAACTTAGCTGATAGGGCTGTTGTCCTGGTGGGGGAGGGGATGCAGGAAAGGAGTGCTCAATGGCCACCATGAGCTCCTAGAAGAAGTGGGTCTCTCACTCACTCACTCACACTTGTGTGTGCCCTCAAGTCAGTGTTGATTCCTGGCAAGTCCCTGCAGTTTTCTTAGCAAAGTTTTTCAGAAGTTTGCCACTGTCTATTTCCTAGGACTACGCTAGAATAACTGACCCAGGGTCACCAAGCAGGTTTTGTGCCTCAGGCAAGACTAAAACTCCTCTTCTCCCATTTTCTAGCTCTGTGCCTGAACCACTACACCAAACTGGGACCTCCCAGAGGGAAAACAAGATATAAATCTTTTTGAAAAGCCAACAATGTTATAGGGTGTGTGTGGGAGAACCCAACTTCTAGTCTCCTCTCAATCCTATAAGATTCTTGAGTGACTTTGGGAAAGTTACTTTATCTAAGTCAACCTACTTCACAGGTTTGTTGCAGGAGGCTTGTGTATGTTGCCTTGTGTTTCTGAACATAAGACAGGGTATGTCTCATAAACCAACTAAAGCTGTGAGATCTCAACAAACTTCTGGAAAGATTTCTAAAAGGAGGCAGAAGGAATACTTTTGAGGTCTTAAAGAAAAACTCTTTGAAGAATCTAGCCTACAATGGGAATATTATTAAATTGTTAGCCTTATAGGCATCCTTTATTATTTTCATGTGGCTTAAAGCAATAATACAATTACCTGCAGCCTCACTGTCTGCAGTGAATAATAACTGCCTTGAGGCTATCAGCTGCATCTGGTCCTACCAGGAGTAATAGTAGCAGTATCACTTTGCAGAGCCACCCCCAATCTCTTGTCCTTAATAGTCCTTGGATTATAGAGTACACACAAGCAGGATGCAGTGCCTGGAAATTATGGGAGATGAAGTTCAACTCACCTCAAAGACAGCAGACATCAATTTCCCTGTTATTCTGCATTTTAAACACTTTAAAATGCTTTGTGTGCATTCCTCACCCGTGCCCTTACCCCTCTTCCAAGTAAATGGCAGGGTGTACTAAGAGATTCTAACACAGGAGAAATTTGAACTGGGGAATTACCTCATTTTCCCAGCTGCCCTATATATAAACATGTGGAATTGTAGGGTGGCTACTATAACAGCTAACTCTGAGCCTCAAATGACACATTGGACCAGCTTCTGTTTGATTTCAGCCTGATTCCTCAATCTTCACTGGTATGATTCAACTTATCTGATCTGTGTTGATGGGATGCCAGTTTGGTCTGATGGTTAAGGCATCAGGCTAGAAACCAAAAGACCATGAGCCTTAGCTATAAAAACACCTGAGTATCCTTGAGCCACTCACTCTCTCTCACTTTACCAGGCTGTTGTGGCCAAAATAGGAGGAGGAAGGAATATTAGATATATTCACTACCTTGAGCTATTTATAAAATAATAAAGGTGGGATATAAATAAGCAAAGTAAATTTTGGCTGGGGCCAAACAGCTCTCCTGTTATAGGTTAAACTGCACTGCTTCCCAGGGTTTTGAGCATAATGTCATCAAACCCCACCAAACATTGAAGAATATGCACAAAGCATAACTAGTCCAGAAACAATATCCTGGCTTTATCCCCTAATGTAGCTTAGAATGCAACTTCAACAGCTGCACACCCATGTGGTTAACCTGATTAATGAAGTAAAGTAAACCCATTATCTGAGTTTGCCTACACTTTTGAAACAAACTAAGCAAATGACTGAATTTGCAGAACATCCTAAGCTATATTAAAAACAAAACAAAACCCACACCTAATAAGAATTAACACTTAATGAATTCAGCACTTCAGGCAAATATTACTGCTATTTGGCTACATGATTTCATTAATCATGTTGCATATTCCAATAAACCAATAAATAACCAATAAATAAAAAATGTATTGCCATTGGGAATATGTATATGCCATATGTTATGCAAGGTAGCCTTGGGTGATGCTGCTGCCAGTCCTGGCTTACACAAGACTTACACAAGACTTACACAAGACTCATATTTGCAAATTGCTGGTATTGTTACATTTTTAAAAGTAGATGCTAAAATGCAGTTTGTGAAAAGATCTTACAAATAGACTAGTCATTTAAAGAGAAGAGCAGGCTGTATTAATATATTTTATTACTTAAACTTATTGGCTGCCCAATTCCAGTGGAAAGAACATAAAACAGCTAAAACATTAAATCAAGTACACAGACCAGCTTAAATAATCTAAACCATACAACAGACCTTCCTCCTACTTTATTTATCCTCTCATAGTTGAGGTGAGAGCCTGGGACAAATCCAGCAACAACAGAATTCCTGGTGCCACCATTCCCCCAGGATGATGATGAGAAAGTAGTAAAAGACCTATTAAGGTCAGAGGCCTCTTCACTACCACCTTCTGTGCAGGATGGCCAAAAGGGCAGAGATGGGAGAGAGAGAGATCGCTAAGATATTTTGACTATCATAAATGTCCACTGATTGCTAAGCGCCCGAATTTTGATCATGTGACCCCAGAGATAATGCAATGGTGGTAAGTGCGAGTATCCATTTTTTTTTCAGCACCATCCTAACTTTGAACAGTCACTGAACAAATGATTATTTTCTGTTTCCTGGAATGAGAGTCCAGTGATGACCTCTGTGGACCACTCTCTGGATCTGGATCGCTGGGAGTCCCTTGGGTCATCAGAAATGCTGCTGGTGAACAAAGACTATATCTCACTGAACATGGGTCAAAACTTTTGTTAGTATTTTCCACATAGGGATAAATGCAGCAAAATGTATTTTACTATTCAATCACCTCCTCAGATAGCCAGCCAGTAGTCCTTAATTGAGCAGGAGAGATCAGCAGGGCTATTGTGAAGAACATTCTAGGCAACTATCAAATAGGGTTGTTTCTCTTTTTCGGTGGGGTTGGGGGTGCCATCAGGTCAGCAAAGCCAAGTTAGACACACCAAGCCCAAAAGATTCATCGTCACTGGACTAGGACTAGGAAGACTAATCTGATAACCAAATTTTGTCAATATATATTTGGGTCATATATATATAAATGCCTCCTTGAGCTTCTATAGAAAAGGTGGAGCAAACCCAATAAATAGCAATAAGCTTCTATTAAGCCCAATCTTTTTCATACAATTTTAACCAATTCTACTTCTCCAGAAAGTATTTCTTGCCCAGCATCTGGAATTTGGGAGTATATTTCCCCTGGAAACAGAAACTTACATAAGTGGTTTTATCCTCTTAGATACAACACTTCCCATGCTGAAATGAGACAAAATTAACTTCTGAGGAAAAGAAAGATCCTTTTCCTGCTTGACATGCCAACTTATCCCTTTGCCCCAGCTCCCTATAGAGTGTCCCCACTCACTCTGGGGTGTTGATCCAGATGATATCCAGGTGGCAGTAGTAAACACACTCTTTATCTTTGTAGGTGTAGCAAGTACAGCGTTTGGCTCTGTGATGGACCTCCCCCAGGTCAGCCATGTTGTCCAGTTTGGAGCTGGTAGCTGAATTCAGCCTTCCGGGTTCTGTGCTGGTTTCTTTGCTGACTCTCGCTGAGAGCCCCAGAAATCTCAGCCCTGTGCTGTTACTCTTGCTCACACTGGGAAGCAACAGGGGATGAGAGGTGGATAGCGAGAAACCTGCAAATTGTGGAGGGCAGGGGGGAAGTGGGGGTGGGGAAAAAAGAGGCCAAATTAGGTTGAAGCTGTTCCTAGCAAAGCAGTCCAAAAACTCTTAGTGCCACATCTTGAAAGTAAGTGGTGTCAGGTTTGGATTTCTTTTTCTCAACTTCTCCAATTACAACTGTGACAAATCACCAGGCAACATTTGAACAGAGACCATTCAAATGCCCCCCCCCCCCACCTCGAGTTCACGGTAATGAATGAAAGCTGGGGAAGAAGTTTTCTCAAGAAAGGGAACCCAGAATCCTGAAAGCACTTTTTCATTCAAACAAACTCAGCTAGAAATGTTAGTATTATGTTTTTCCATCTTCAAAGCACTCTAGATAGGTACTGTCATAACAAGCCTGCAAGGCCTGCCACCTCCAAATTCCAACCAAGACTGTTTTTTTATCATTTCTGGGCTGCTGGCTAGTTCTTATTTTAGGATTTTCAGGTGCCAGTTTCACAGTCTGTCTCTCCACGATCACAACTCCTAGCAAAAGAAATTGGATTATCTTTTCTTTAGAACCAAACAACATGATTTGGCCACCACATATAATATCAGCAACATAAAGCTTTGCAAAGAAGGGATCTCTCTTTCCCTTGGCAGAAAGAAGTATTATAGAATCATGGGGCTGGAAGGGACCTCGGAGGCCTTCAACTCTCTTACTCAAGGCAGAAAACGTTTTGTTTCCTTCTATACACCAAGAGAAAAATATATTTTCCCTTGACATGCAGAACAAAAAAGAATGTATTTCTGCATATTTCCTTTGGGTTGGGATGGATTGGGATAAAAGATAGATAACCTTAACAAAGTTGGCTACTAAAAAGCTTTCAAAATTTTAACCGATGGCTTTAGAAATGTGATTTCGGACATTACAATCTCTCTGTCCGATCCAGCATCTTGTCTTTTTATATGCTTCAAAAACATCAAAAATTATTATAATTATGCCATTGTTTTTAAAGAAGTTTATTCGGGATGCCTCGATTTCTCCGAGGCCCGAAACAACTTTATTTACGAAGCAATTGACATCTGGAATTGCCCTGCACGATTGCACTCTGATGCCCGTTTTCCAGGCAGTAACACAGGAGCCCGTATTTTGGGCAAATAATTCCAAGCCAACTTGCCTAGGCTCGCGGTGAAAAAGCAACCTTTCTTCGCGCGGCTAACCGCTGTCAAGAAATGGATCAGAAATCCTCAGGCGACATAGGCATCTATCTTTCTCACACGCAACTCTTTATTTATTTATTTGGTTAGTTATTTTTCTTTGCGTTTTACCTGCGCTCGAGAGAAATGTAAGTCCAACCAGTATCAAGAATCCCCGCTCCATGAAATCCAGATTGCAAGCTTCTCAACTTGCAGTAAATTCCGGGAGCAAGAGAAACGCGGTCAAAATAAATAAATAAAACACAAATCCAAATCCAGTTAATATTTGCAACGCGTCAAATTTCTCCTGGCTGACTCTCAGTTGCCACGCGCGCCCAGGTCTTCTCAGTGCCTGAAGTCTCGAAACGCCGGGGAAGCCTTCCTTCCACCTTCCCCTTTTTTTGTAAGCTAGTCTAAATACGGGACAAAGCTACCTCTAACTCCATAGCTCGCCTGCTCTTTTCTCGCTCCTTTCTCTCTTCCTCGGCAGCCTTCAATCCGACCCTAAACTGGACCCTTGTTTTTCCATTAGACGCCGTCGAGCATTGAGCCGTTTCCAAGCGAGGTCGTCTGGCTGTTATCGCTTCGTCTGTCCAGGCTGTCGCATCGTGCTTCCTCCGGCACTTGACCCACGCGAGACGCCGAGGCAAGAAGAGCCGGCACGCGCTGCTCCCACGCCGAGACCACGGGACCAGTCAACCACAGCCGAAAGCGAGAGTCTGCGCGGCGAGCGCAATGCTGCACTTCAAGGGAGCGCTTCCCTCTGCTGTGGGCGGGGAACCCCGGGAGAAGATGGGGCGCGGTTCCCCCAGAGGTCTTGGTGCTGGTTGGTTATGCCTTAGGCCGGTTTTTACGTGCTGAGGTCCGTCGAGGCTGAGCGTGTCCCTTAGCGAGGACTCAAGGGGTGCCCCTGCGAAAGACTAAAATGAATTTCTCTAAAAGGATTTGTCGAAAGGCTTCAGTGGAAAACATTGGAGCTGCCCCGCTCAGCTATAAGTATATAGGTTGAGTTTACAACATCGAACAGAGCCAGACTAAGCTAAAATAAGCTAAGCCATGCTTTTGTGAACTCAACGATTGACTGAGTTCACAAAACTAGCAAAATTGTAAACTACATAGAAATATGTAGCATATTCCGCCATGTAAAAGATTTGCAAAAGATTAAACAATAGCTCATAACTAGATTCATACAGGGTGATAAACCAAAATTAAACCAGATGTGCATTTCATGAATTTATGGCTCAGTCAAGCTATAGTTAAACCAAGCCAGATAAGGCTTTGTTTCAATGTGCATCTCTGATATAGGTAGACTTAATTAATGATACGCATCCAGGATATCTCAGTGTTTCCTTACCCCGACCATGTTGAAAAACCTCACCAAAGTACACTTTCTCCATGGTTTGGTTCACACATGCTAAACAAGGATTTGCACAAACTTAGTCTGCTATATCAATGCAATTTTTTTAATTCACACAAAATGCTAAGCCAAAGCAAGCAACCATATGATGGTACACTTATGTGAATTTAGTCGTCTTCTTCCTTATCAGCAAGGCTGAAAAAGGAGTGCTCAGTGACATTTACTGAATTTCCAATACGATTTGCTTTCAAATCTCAAAAATCCATTAATTTATGAATGTTATGGCCCTTTTTTATGTATCAAAAATTTACACAACATGTAAATACGGAGGAAATAAATCTAAGCTAATGCCAGTTCACATTTAGCAGGAACAATGAAATACATTCACAAAACTCTTGAAAAGTTTCTTCTAAAAATCTGCAGCTCTTAAGTGTGGCTAAATGCCTCTGCCACAAGCGCAACTGTGCCTCATTTACAGACGAGCCACTGCCATAATATACCACACAGCTCTCTGTCACTAGGAAATAATTTACACTTCCTAGATCTTGTGCTGAAGGACAAAAACCTAACTTGTCAATCTTTGTTAAGGAACCATTTGGTTCAAAAGTACAATAAAACTGAAAGTCAGGAACATGTAAGTGCAGCACATATAAAAAGCACCTTTTAAGTGTTTTTATCGATCAAATCCTTCCCAAGGACCTGGGATTGGCAAATATTGTTTGATGGTGTTAAAAGTATCATTGCAGGATATAAACTGTTCCAAGTAAAGCTGCCTTTTACAATTGACTGGTGTTGATTTTGTCCATGTAGATCAGTGGCCCCCAACCTTTTTTGTGCCACAGCCTGGTACCGGCATCACAAAATGATCCACGGCCCGGTACCAGCATCAGCACGCTTGGCAAGGCGAGCCGAGCGACCGGCCAGCCAGCCGTCCCCTGCTTCTCCCCGCCACCTTCAACTCCTCCTTTGTACCTTTGTCGATGGGCTTCGGGACGGCTTCGGGACGGTCGCTTGGCTCGCCTTGCCTTGGGTGCTGAAAGAATCCTCTCACCTTAGTTTTGTTCGAAGCCGCCCCCCCCCCCTTCGATGAAACTAAGGCGCGAGGATTCCTTCAGGACCCAAACACCGCTTTCCAACCGGAAAAGCTCACCGGAAGCACTTTCTCATCAAAACAAGATGGCGGCGCCCAGCAAACCGGCGGCCCGGTAGAAAATGTTCCACGGACCGGGACCGGTCCGGGGCCCCGTGGTTGGGGACCCCTGATGTAGATAGTATTCAAGTGGTGCTCAAAATTTACTGAAAGTGCTCAATATAATATGAAGTTTTTTTCTTAACAGTTTTAAAAAGAGTACTTGAAATGATCTGGTAACAATGAAATGCTGGGAAATAGCAGAACTTTGCAACTGAAATTATTGCTTACATGGTATACTAGCAGCATATCCAGTGTTGAATTTTCTACTTGCCTATTCTGTATATATCCCAAAAGATTGTCTGCTTTTTATTATTGTTTTAATCAAGTGTAAACATTTCCAGAATTTTCTGTCCAATTGTTATTTATTAAAGTAACAAGAGCAATTTTGTACAAAGGTCTGGATTCTATACAGGCAAGGAAGGATTTTCTTAAAGAAGAAAACATAAATACGGTACAGTAGAAAAGAAGGAGCACTTTGGTCTTTGCCCCAAGAGCAAAGTCAGCTTTAGAAGTAACCAAACACTTTCTTTAGGTGCAATCAAAGTGCAGAAATAAAGCATCCCAGTTCTGGGCTTGGATCCAATTATGTTCTTTGGGATATGATGCAAAGGATTTGACTGAACCTTCATTGCAGAAAAAAACACTGTAAAAATAAGTAAATAAAATATTCTCAAAGTGGTAGTTTCTGTGTGATTATTTTGATGAAAGGGAGAGATACACCTGCAACCTGAGAAGAACAAAATGCCTGTGTTTACATTTGCTTCCAAAAGCAAGAATGGCTTTAATCTTGTGTATGACCAGGCCCTGAAGATCAGCAAATTTGGTGGAATTATATAAGTGAGTCCCAAACATGGGTCATGAGACCCCCTTAGGGAACATGTCATATTTGTAGGGGGTCATAGTAAGTTTCTGAGGTGTCACCCAAACATATAATCATTTTGTTGTTATCCTCACATCTCATTCTTTGTGCTAATTTCAGCAGCATGAATACAGAAAACTGCTATAGTTTATGATGTATATCTTAAGAATGGCTATTGAAGTGAGTCACAGAAACAAATGAGGCTGACAAAAGGGATACAAGCCAAAAAAAGATGTCAATCTCTTGATACCAGGTAAAAATCACATGAAAGTTGACATGGTGCTCTTCTTTAAATTGGGTAAATAACAAACCTGAAGAAAATTTAAGGACTCTAATTGTTTTAATGTTCTAATTGTTTTTATTTTATTTTATGATGTTGTTAGCTGCCCAGTGTCATTTGATAGTAAAAGGAATGGTATATAAATTTAATATAAATAAATAGGGATAAATTAGCCCAGATAAACATTTTGAAGCTGCAATGAAGTCAAGAATTACCGTGGTTCTTATTTAGAAATTAAAAGGCATTGCCTTAGTAGTTTTTTTTATCATGGAGAAGGGGATACTGCTTTCATTATTCTGATGAAAGCAGTGAGACCCTGGGGTCACTATTGTTTACTTAGGAATTCAACTCACATCTCTTGTAAAAGCAATGTTACATTAGCTGAATTGAGGTATTCCCAAAAGTAGAAACACTGCAAGCACTATTGACAAGCTCTGTACCTTCAAAAAGTCACTCTGATAGCACAACTGAAGTATGGGCATCCAGACAGGCAATGTAGAATTCTGTCCTAAAAAAACTAATTGTACATACAACTACTGAACAAAATATAGTTGCCTGGGAATTTTGATGCTCATAAACAAGTTTTTTCATTAATTTAACTGGGAGAAATCTGTGAGTAAATATCAGGCTTCTTTAATTTTCCCCTTTCAAAAAATTTGGATTATACCTCTCAGAAGGATTATGAAAATTGATACCCAAAAACTTCTGAAGAGTAACAGCTTGAAAAAAAACCTGGCATTTTATTATTAAATCCTCATCCTTATCCATCCTCATGAATGCACAAGACTGGTACTTTCTCTGAATTTTTTTAAAGGCTCACACACATAAAATGTCAGTGGACTGCTGCATCTGGATTCAATTAGTTTTGTGTCCTAGCAGCCATTTGTAAAGAAAATATATTTCATAAAACCAGCCAGTTTTCTATCTATTGTTAATTAGGAGGTAAGTGTTTCCTCATATGCAAGTAGAGGATTTGTTTAATTTTATTGTTACAGTTGTTGCCAGTAACTGAAGTGGTACAATAATAATCCTCAAGGAATGATCAGCCTCAAAGCCCATGTGTTCATGGATTAGATGTTTCTTTATTTATACCAGGGAAGATAACAACAGAACAGGGCCATTTTTCTGTTATGACAACAGCATATTCTGCTTTTTCCATATTCTCCTTGTAAGTTTTCCATTTTTATAAACCTTTTGTTGATCCATTTGGATCAAAGAGTAAAATAAAAATAGTGTCTTAACCCTGGATGAGAAAACTATAATCTCCCATTTTTCAAACACTGTGCTATGATTGCAAAGATCTCCAGATTTTGCTAGTTATACAAACAATATCAGCAAACAGAATAGACATCTGTAGAGAGATCTGGATTGGACATGCAAGTGTGTTTTTCTTGCTAAATATATACATTTTTACCTAAGATTATAACATTTTAAATTCAGTCAAAATGATTTGATGCTGTTGGGTAAGGCAATATTATACAAGTCTATATTTTTTT